CCCAGCCACGTCCAGGTCCCAGAGCCTGGCGACCTCTTTATCCTCTGCCCTCTTACTAGGTTCGGGGAGTTGAGGTGGCCGAAGAAGGCTGGGAAGCTGGAAAGCCACTCGAGGGGGACCTTCTGTGTTCAATGGTCAACATCGTGGCTGTGAGTTTTAGAGACACTGCTGCCGGGCCTTGCCCCCAGGGGCCCTGCTTCAGTGGGTCTGGGGTGTAGCCCGGACGCTATGTGGAAACTCCTCAGGTGAGCATTATTGTTTCACGGGGGCAGAGTCTCTGTTCGGGCAGGTGAGAAAGTTCCGGCGACGGGCAGTGATTGTGGTACATTGTCAATGTTCTCGATGCTGCTGAACTGCGCCTCTAAAAGTCGTGAGCTGGTCAAGGTTAGGTCATCTGTATTTTACCACAATAGACTCCCCTCCCCCACCTCCCGTGATCACTCCCTGCAGCCGGCGTGGGGCCCAGGGTTGAGAATTGGCGCTCACCATGTCAAGCTCCAGGTAAATTGCTCCCGGTATGTTTCTCGTCGGATCCTCAGAGTAACTCTAGGGGCAGCTACTCTGACCAACTCCATTCCGCAGGGAGGAGAAGGAGGCTCGGAGGCTTTAACTGGTCTAAAGCCTCACAGGAAGTGGCTAAACCGGGTTTCACATCCATATCTAAATTCATTTTTAGAATTTACTAAGTGGACAATTTCATCGCCATTAACACTAACCAGAGGGTGTCGATCAGCAGGCACCTTGCATTCCAAGTGACTTTAATGAAGTGAACAGGGACCTTTCTCTCCTCCTCTCCCCCTCCCCCTCCTCCTCTTTTTTTTATTAAAAACACTGTGTTCATCCTGAGCTTGGAACAGCTTCTAGCTGAGTTTTACAGCCGGCAGAGCAGAAGCCGTTCATCACAAGTTTCTGTACAGTGGGCCAAGGTTGAGCTTCACTGAAAACTATGCAATACATTTGCAATAAATCCACTTTTGTTTTGGTGCCACTGAAAATACCGAAGCTCACACCAAAAGCGAGGAATTTGAAGATTATTCTTTTTAATAGCAAAGGCTGTCACGGTAACAACGGATCACTAGCAAATCACCAGGCCCAGATGGGAGGACCATGGAAGGAAGGTACAGAAAAGAACTGAGGCGGGTGCCTCCTCTGCTGGTCTGGTTTCTTAGGCAAGTGTTGTTTTCCATCAGCCTGCACTTTGCTATCCTCCTCCTTCCAGCTCCCTGGAATTCTGAGTAATTGTTGAATCTGGCTGGCAGGGCCCGGGGTTGGGGGACGTTCCAATGCTTGCATGTTTCAGAAATAAGTCTCAGTGGAACAGCTATCTCTCAGTCTGGCTAAACAGGGTTTTTGAATCTCTCTCTTTTTTGGCGGGGGGGGGGGGGCAGGGGGGGGTGGGTGGGGGATGAACCTCTTTAATCATCTGGGGAAGCCTGAGGACCCCTTCTCAGAAATTTTCTAATGTGTAAAATAAAATACACATAATGACAAAGGAAACCAATTTTGTTGAAATACAAGTATCAAATAGTTTAAAAAGTCTGATGACTTAGTCATAGATGTGTTTCTTCACTCATGCGTTAAGATCAGCTCTAACAACTTCCATCGTTAAAAAGTAGTAATGACCATAAGTGGTATTTCAAGAATAACTACACTTGCCATGTGATAGGAAGATTCTAGTATTTCTACTGGAGACAAAGTCACAGGTTCTGCTCATACTACTGAGAATGTTGTCTACATTCATAAAGGAAGGAAATGCTAAATTTCAGTTAGAAGAGAAAATAAAGATGTAACTTGTCCCTAGCTCTATCCACAGACTTTTTGGGATCTCTGTACCTCAGGTTAAGAACGCTGGATTAGTATCGCCTACAGAAAGCATCCCCCATATGAAGCCTTCAAAGGCTTAACACAGCATTCAATGTTAGCCGTGATCGCAATATACATCCCAATATACATCACATTTCCTGTTAATGAACCTAACCAGGAACTAAAGAAAGTCTAGAAGGTGTACTTTTCTGCAATGAATACTTAAAAAGGAAATTTTAAAGTACTGATGGTAAACAGCTAAACCTCAGGTAAGGCAACTATGTGAATGTTCCTGAACCACGTGGATACCAAATAATCTGTCCCCTAGGTGTTATAACTGACCGGAGTTCATTTGATCCCACGCAACTTCTCGGTTCATTTTCATGGGTGATGATAGCTGACAGAGAGTTTTGAAGTGGTCAGGGTTACGTACCCTCCCACATCTCACCATTGGGTTATAATGAAAGCAAATCTCTGACCAAAATCAGATACAAACAGGTATTTATTAGACAGACGTTTATTAGCAAAGCGAGCAGAAGACAGTTCACACAACCGGTTCTGGAAGATTCAAGAAGTTCCAACTCTCGGTCCTTCAGTTGCTCTGCCCAAACCCTCAACATGGCAGACGCAGCGTTCCCGAGGTGCAAAAGCTGGACCCCCAACTAAAAGGCCATCAGACCCCAGGCCCGACCTTAAGGGTGCAGGCTGCAGGCCTCCAAATTCTTATAACTTGCTCTTACGAGGGTAGAGAAAATCCAAACTGTTTTAACCAACGCCTACTTGATTAGCCTTAAGGTCACCCATGGGAGCCCATTATTGGCATTTATCATTCTAAAAAACAAGATACTGTCTTACCAATAAAAACCCATTTTTGATAGCCGGTATGCTTCTCAGAAAGGCCTGGGCTGCTGATGGAGACATAGGTGCGGGGGGACTGGCAGTAGCCACCTGTGAAAGCCACCCGTGTAATGCTACTGACCACTCTTGGACTTCCATTCCTCTCTCTGTCTCAACCTTCTATTACGAAAGATTTTTTTTTTTTTAACATTTTATTTTTAATTTAAAAAAAATTTTTTTAACGTTTATTTTTGAGATAGAAAGAGACAGAGCATGAACGGGGGAGGTCAGAGAGACAGGGAGACACAGAATCTGAAGCGGGCTCCAGGCTCTGAGCTGTCAGCACAGAGTCCGACACGGGGCTCCAACTCACAGACCATGAGATCATGACCTGAGCCGAAGTTGGACACTTAACCGACTGAGCCACCCAGGCGCCCCGAAAGATTTTAAACTTACAGAAAAACTGAAGGAATTCTCAGTACTGTTGTGGTTCCTGCTATTATTATCCTCCTAGGACAAATGAGAAGAAATTAAAAAGAGAATCGGAGAATCAGAGTTCACCGACTGTCTGAAATGAAATAGCCAGCTGGCTACAGAGCCGGGACTGAAACCTAGATATTCTGACTCTCCCCCCCCTGCCCCCCACCCCAGGACTTCTTCCAGTCACGCTGAGGGCTTTTGTTCATTTTTTATTTATTCGTTTCCTCCCACCTTCCTCGGTCTGTGACACAATCGGATTTAGGGTGAGTGGAATATCTTCCTGTGCCAAGCAGGAAGAATTGGCTCGACTTCAAGGGTTCAGTCCAGAAAACCCGGGATAGCATTGAAAGCTCCCATAGACAAAAAAAAAAAAAAAAAAAAAAAAAGGACAGTCTGAGCAACTGTGAGGACTTTTACTGCATTGGATGGAAACACTTTACTAATGTCTACATCCATGAATTCAAAAGGATACTAAAAACAGCAATGGTAACACCTTCATTGGTCACCTTCAGAGAATGCTAGGGACACGTTTATTTTCAAGACTCGTAAATAAAAGGAAAGAATTAGGTATTTATTTCTGCCATTCCAGTATGAACTGTAGTACTGACTAATCAGAGAGGGACAAGCGGAGGCTTCTATTGACAAAGTATTCCAGCTAATAAATGGAGTAGACAAGTCCGAGTGTCACCACTCTGTGACCTTTGCATGGGCTCTAGGCAAGAAGCATCAATGGCTGATAAACACACAAAAAAAGACAGACAAGCAGACCCTTTGTGTGAAAGGACACACTACCACCTGTGAAGTATTCTTGCCAAAAATTTAAAACTTAAAACTGATCCCACATCTCAATCTAACTACCGATTTCTGGGAAATAGAGGGGACAGGGAAACTTGCTAAGTGACATTACATCGGGCTACAGTGAGAAACGTTACCCGCTTTCTTCATCAGAAATTTGCAAAGAGGGGCGCCTGGGTGGCTCGGTCAGTTAAGCGTCTGACTTCAGCTCAGGTCATGATCTCATGGTTCATCAGTTCAAGCACCGCATCGGGCTCTGTGCTGACAGCTCGGGGCCTGGAGCCTGCTTTGGATTCTGTGTCTCCCTCTCTCTCTGCCCCTGACCACCCCTTCTTTCTCAAAAATAAATAAATATTTAAAAAGTGTGTTAATGTTTTAAAATATTAGAGAAAACCTAAACGCAGGAAAGTTAATATTTTTGGTACAACCCTGGGATGGGATACTATACTTCCGTTATGAATGAAGATGTTCCCAATATGTTGTATATGATAAAAGCAGCTTATAAAGGTAATTTTTATTATGAAAAAAATTTAAATTATTTTGTTTTTTTTTTTTTCATCGTGATAAGTGTACCTTTTAATCCCCAGCACCTATTTCACCCATTCCCCCACCTAGCTTCTTCCTGCCCCAAATCAGTCTGTTCTCTATAGTTAAGAGTCTCTTGGTTTCTGTCTCTTTTTCCCTTTGCTCATTTGTTTTTTTTCTTAAGCTCCACATGTGAGTAAAATCATATGGTATTTGTCTTTGACTTAGTTTGCTCAGCATTATGCTCTTTAGCTCCATCTATGTCATTGCAAATGGCAAGATTTCATTCTTTTTTATGGCTGAGTAGTATTCCATTGTATACATGCTACATCTTCTTTATCCATTCATCTATCGATGGACACTTTGAGCTACTTCATAATCTGGCTATTGTAGATAATGCTGCTGTAAACATCGGGGTGCACGTATCCCTTTGAATTAGTGTTTTTGTATTTTTTGAGTAAATCCCCAGTAGTGCAATTCCTGGATCGTAGGGTTGTTCTATTTTTAATTTTTTGAGGAAGGTCCATACTGTTTCCCATGGTGGCTGCAACAGTCTGCATTCCCACCAATAGTGCATGCATGAGGGTTCCTTTTTCTCCACATCCTCACCAACAATCGTTGTGTCTTGTGTTTTGGATTTTGGCCATTGTTATAGGTGTGAGGTGACATCTCATTGTGGTTTTAATTTATATTTCCCTGACGATGAATGATGTTGAGAATGTTTTCATGTGTCTGTTGGCCATCTGGATGTCTTCTTTGAAGAAGTGTCTGTTCTTGTCTTCTGCCCATTTTTTAATTGGATTATTTGTTTTGTTGGATGTTGAGTTGTATCAGGTCTTTTTCTATTTAGGATATTAACCCTTATTAGATATGTCACTTGCAAATACCGTCTCCCATTCCATAGATTACGTTTTAGTTTTATTGGTTGTTTGTTTTGCTGTGCAGAAACTTTTTATTTTGATGTAGTCCCAAGAGTTTATTTTTGCTTTTCTTTTCCTTGTTCAGGAGACACATCTAGAAAAATGTTGCTACAGCCGATGTCAGAGATTATTTCCTGTGCTCTCTTCTAGGATTTTTATGGTTTCAGGTCTTACACTTAGTCTTTAATCCATTTTGAGTTTATTTTTGTGTACAGGGTAAGACAGTGTTCCAGCATCATTCTTTTGCATGTAGTTGTCCACTTTTCCCAATGCCATTTGTTGAAGAGATGGTCTTGTTCCCATCTTATATTTATTTCTCCTTTGTCAAAGATGAATTGACAATATAATTGTGAATTTATTTCTGGGTTTTCTGTTCTATTCCCTGATCTATGTATCTCTTTTTATGCCAGTACCGTATTGTTTTAATTACTATCACTTCATAACGTAACTTGAAATTTGGAATTGCGATGCCTCCAGTTTCATTTTTCTTTCTCAAGATTGCTTTGGCTGTTTGGGGTCTGTGTGTTTGTGGTTCCATACAAATTTTAGGATTGTTTGTTCCAGTTCTGTGAAAAAAAAAATGCTGTTGGCATTTTGATAGGGGATTCCATTAAATGTGTAGATTGCTTTGAAGAGTATAGACATTTTACCAATATTTGTTCTTCCAACCCATCAGCATGGAATATCTCCATTTCTTTGTGTTGTCTTCAATGCCTTTCATCAGTATTTTCTAATTTTCAGAGTACAGGTCTTTCACCTCCTTGGTTAAGTTCAGTCCTAGATATTTTGTTGGTTTCAGTGCAATGGTAAATGGGATTGTTTTCTTAATTTTTCTTTCTGCTGCTTCATTATTGGTGTATAGGCATGCAACAGATTTCTGTACATTGATTTGTATCCTATGACTTTCCTGAGGTTATTTATCAGTGTAAAGGTAGTTTTTAACTTAATTAAAATATTGTAAAGATATTGAATGCCCATTGTAAAAAGAAACTCAGATAATGCCAATGGGAGTAAAGTTCCCATCGCCTCCATCTCCACTAATAGCACTCAATTCCTCTTTCTCGTATAGATTTTTTCAAAGTTACTGATAATGTAAATGTATATTTCTAAACTCTAATGGAAGCCTTTTACTTAATAAAAATATTAACTACTAATATAAATTAGTAGTTATTTTTTTTTACTCTTTCTACATCAATTTTACATGGAGAAAGCATTATTTTTTGTTACAAATTTTCTGAAACTCTAAATTTATTGATTCAACAAATGTTTATTGGGTGACCTACATGTCTCAGAAACTGTGGAGTGTGTGTGTGTGTGTGTGTGTGTGTGAGAGAGAGAGAGAGAGAGAGAGAATCCTAGGCAGGCTCTGCACTGTCAGCACCGAGTCGGATACGAGGCTCAGTCCCAGGAACCGTGAGTTCATGACTTGAGCGAAATCAAGAGTCTGTAGCTCAACCGACCGACCCACCCAGGGTCCCCAAAAATCTCTTGATGAACTTTCTTCGTATGGAAAACCACACGCTTAGAGTACTTTAATGGACTTATTCAGTGGTTCTCAAACCTGGTTGCATATTAGCATAACCTAGGTCAATGAAAAAAAAAAACGAAACCTGATGCTTGAGCTCCACCACCGGAACTTCTGATTTCACTGCTTGAAGGCCCCAAACATAGGATTCTGTGATGCTTCCTGGGTGTTTCTAATGGCTGAGTCTAAGAGTGTATTTAATTTGCTCTGCTGCAATGTGAAACCACTCTACCCCCTCCTACCACCGCCAGCACAGCTACCAACTTTTTACAAAAGTCCAAACACATCACCTTGTAGTCCGTTCAGTAAAAGAACAGGGATCAAGAACACCTCCAAGTAGCTGTCAAATTGTGTCCACATGTACAGGTAGCAAAACGCAGGTAACTTGCATGCAGCTATATAGGGATTTGGATACAGAAATGATCAAGAGAAATTTAGGTTCCCTACTCATTCCTGAAATACTTGGAATATTCCGAACTTCCGCATATAGAGTGAAAGTTCAACCCATTTGTATTTATTTATTTATTTGTGTTTTTATTGAACTACGGTTAACATACAGTATTAGATTAGTTGCAATACAACATATTGATTCCACAATTCTATACATTACTCAGTGCTCATCAGCATGGGTGTGCTGTTTCTTTTTTTTTTTTTTTACTTTTTTTTTTTTCAACGTTTATTTATTTTTGGGACAGAGAGAGACAGCGCATGAACGGGGGAGGGGCAGAGAGAGAGGGAGACACAGAATCGGAAACAGGCTCCAGGCTCCGAGCCATCAGCCCAGAGCCCGACGCGGGGCTCGAACTCACGGACCGCGAGATCGTGACCTGGCTGAAGTCGGACGCTTAACCGACTGCGCCACCCAGGCGCCCCGTGGGTGTGCTGTTTCATTCAGCCCCACTCGTCCCCCTCTGGCAACCACCAGTTTGTTTTCCATATTTAGGAGTCTGGTTTTTGGTTTATCTCTTTTTTTTCCTTGTTTTGTTTCTTAAATTCCACATATGAGTAAAATCAAATGGTATTTGCCTTTCTCTGATTTATTTCACTTAACATAACACCTTGTATATTCTCTTAATAGGCATCTTCTGGTCACATACAAATGTTTAGACATTACTGCTTGCAAGTTTCTCTTTTTTTTAAACTTTTAAACATTTATTTATTTTTGAGAGAGAGAGAGAGAGAGAGAGAGAGAGAGAGAGAGAGAGAGGGAGACAGAACACTAGCAGGGGAGGAGGAGGAAGAGGGAGGCACACAATCTGAGGCAG